ATAAGCGGTGCCCTACTGTATATGGTACTCTGGTAGGGGATGAACAGTATTTTTATATAATGAAATTTAATTACAATGGCAAGCTTTACCTGAGACTGTACTATTACACTCATAAGATGAAAGATAAGGAATTTATGTCAAATGTGGGAGTCTTGGTACAATTCAGGACTTTTTTGTTATCAGGTGGAGCAGCATCTTCCTGCTGGAAGAAAAATCTTGTCTAGGAACCTTGCCTTTTTGATGTTATGATGATGATAACATGAAGCAGAATATTTCAGTTGTTCTCTTGGCTGCACAGAAATTCATCAAAATAGGATAATTTTTCTCTGTACCATCGAGTCGGAGTCGACCCCTAGTAACATTATGAACAAGATCCCTCTGATATGGAACTGTTCATATATTTTCTACGCAAATGATCCAGAAGTGGTTTGCTGTTGCCTTCTTCTGTTTGCATGGAGTATAAATGACACAGTATGGAATGCAGTGTTCCATGACTAAGATTCAATTTTATGAATAAACACACACATTTTTTTTAAATTGTATGCTTAGATTTTTCTGTTCTCTGAAGTGTTAAAAGGTTTAACCTAATTTTTGACTTATAAGACCAATATTTTCATTAAATTATTAACACATATTAATGCTAATAATATTTACTTTTCAATAATTCTTTTTGTTGCTGTTTGAGTTTTGTACTGAGCCAATATTTATTATGGTACGTTGTTAAATTCTTAACAATTTGTGCATATTTGAGAGGCATAAAAGTAGTTTCAAGAGTAAGGTACAAACAGGCACAGAATGTAGTAAATGAGTGGAAGCATTTTACAGGCATTGTTAAGGGTGTTTGAATACTAATCTGAACAGTGAGCAATGCACATGCACATGTGCATGACATAAAACCAATATGTCATTGAGAATGGAGACTTGGATGAAAATTGTCTCTGCGTACCTTACTTTCAGACCATCCCTTGCAGACTTCTAACAGTAATGTACTGAATGACACAATATATAAATAAATTAATTACTGTGATTGTGTTCTTTGCTGACATGGACATTATTTTATGGACTAAAACATAAGCTTTTACACTTTACCCCTGAGTAAACAAATGTATACTCACTGCACAATAGAGAAGCTTTTAGTTTCATAATGGAATTTGGGGATTGATTCACTCCGTTTGTGTGCACAGCGCACTGCATTCAAATCTTTCTTTGAGTGTAATGCCAGTTGCTCAAAACGGTTTGCACTAGCCACATCTCCTATTGCTTTGAAGTGGTCCCGTGTAGTCAGACACATCTGTAATCAATAGGTTTCCATTAAGTTATGTGAATAATATCTACAGCAGAAGCAAATGAAACTAGTAGTTATTTCATTGAGGAATTTTCTTGATATGAAAATAATTTTCAATTATTTGTACAATTCATTTTTAATGTACAACAAATGAGGATTATTACATAATGAAAAATATAATGACTTTTAAAGGTCACCTTGTATTATTAAAGACAGTACAATCAGGGAGACTATGACGAGATAGGAATATGTGTATGGTGAAGGAGAGCAAGACCGCAAACAGAATTTTTGCAGGAAAAGCTGTTGGAAAATGTCCACTTCAAAGACCAAGGAGCTGGAAGGATGACAATGAGATAAATCTTAGGAAGACAATGCAGTCATGTTTATAAAGATTACCTCTCAACTGAATATAACTTTGAGTTATTGTCAACAACTGCTAAGGAAAGGATATTTGCTGAGCAAACTGCATTCTTCATTTTGATCAATTAACACTTAACATATAAACAGCTCAGTTTTATCAAAATCTGAAATCTTTAATCACATGAGGATATACCTGGAACTGCTGAGACTTTTAATTAAAGTGCACACAGATTTGTCCCACTTTATGTGATGTTACTTGCCAGGATTACAGATGAGATTTGATGAGGTAAAACTGACATTTTGGACACTAAGGACTTCAGTTCTTGCATCTAAAAATCAGTAGTTTGGCTACTAGGACCATGGCAAAATGTTCTTGTAATACTGGTATAAACATAACAGCAGAGTTAGTTTTTTGAATTCAACCCAAATCAGGTTCTTCGTCATTTTCCAGTTTTTTACTATGGTTACAGGTTTATTATAAAAAGTATTTCACTGAACATTGTGATAAAATGGTTAACACTCCTGCTTAATATTTGAAAGGTTTCAGAACAAACTCTGGGCCTGGAGGCTGACTACCTTAACTGAGACTTTTTACCATCTTCCTTACACATTTCAAGAAATGTTTGAACACCTTAAAACAGACCACAACCACTTAGTTCCATATCTTTTCTGATAAATAATTAATAATTTTTCCTATTCAACACTATACGTCCCGCACCGTAGCCGCGTGTTCTGAGGCATCATGCTTCGGACCGACGATACGGAATGCGTGCTGGTTCGAGTCTCGGGGGAGAAGAAATTTTCTCATGAGGTTTCGACCAGTGTATGGGACCGGTGCCAACCCAGCATCATGAGGAAATTGGGGAGCTACAATGGGTAGCATAATCCGGTCAGGAAAACCAGCAATGGCTGGGGGGTTCGTCGTGCTGACCACACGTCACCCTATATCTGGTTGGATGATCGTTCATGCTTAGGCATGTGAACGTGAGACCAGCAGTCAAGCTAGTCAGCTTTGGCTCTCTTGAGCTGTTACGCCACATATTTATTTATTTATTTTATTCAACACTACACAGAAAATAATTAAAATCCAGTTGACATAACAAATGTGGATTATCATATGTTGTGAAAGTCCATGAGGGTTTTTGAATACTTCAAAACTATCCAGTCAACATTTTACAAACCTATACAAAATTTTGCAATGAATGACATCAAGTTTTTAGCCGTATCCAAAGAAGAAAAAATATCTGGAATAATAGTGCAAGACTTTTATAGCAGATGATATATATATAATACAACGTGCCAGTTTACATAGAAAAACACGAGAATACTGCTGCAGGTGTCAAATGGAACACAGCACCAGGTAGCAAGAAAAGCAGAGGTCCTTGGACATTGGCTGCTCATAAACACAATTATTTTTCATTACCTAAACTCTTTTTGAATCTACACAGTAGTAATAGGAATGCTTGAAGCACTGACAGTCAAAACAAAAATGTATTTTAGCTAGAGATAATGAAGCTGGAAAAGGGGACATCTACATATGCAATGCATGAACACACAAGTGGTGTTTGTTGGAAATACAAGGGGAATTGTTATGCACAATCCTCTGTATTGGTAAAGAAGGAATCACTACTCCCATGGGGCCAAACTCACCCATACATTATACAGCTTCATCTTTCAGGAACAAGCCATGTCAAATGTTGAAAGTTATCCAACATTTCAGCTAACAATGCAGTTGCCATCTTCAGGGTGAATGTGTACTGGTTGGGCATTATTTTAAAGCTTTACAGAGGGCAGGCAGTAGGAAGTGAGATTAATGTGATGGTGCTGACTGGTGGAGCACAGATTCTCTTGTTCTTGTGATAAGGTGTACAGCAGCCAAACAGGCTTTCACAACACTACCAGGATTTCATGATAAATCGCAGAAAACAAACCAGAAAACCAGCAACCTGCAGTAGCCAACTATTCTATAGCAACCAGCACTGACTTTGACAAAACAGAAGTCACATCCAACATCCACAACTAATAGATACAACTGAAATAACTAAACACACCCACAACTTCAACCATGAAACTGTTATAGATGAAGTAATTTCTAGCTTCACCTCTTCTCTCCCAAAACACATATCCAACCATCTCTATCCCTGAACAATGATCAAACCTTCCTTCCTGTCCATGACAAAAACTTTCTCATCACCTCTTCTCCTTCCCAGGAGCAAGTTGAAAGACTTTCTCATCACTTCCACTTAACATGGCACCTCCCTTCCAGACTTACAAGACCACTAATCTTCTTTCTTCACCTCTTTTTCTCATCTCCAGTTGGACAACAGCCCACTCTTACAATCCACCAATCAACAACATCACATCCAACTTACCTCCTACTGTCTGCCCTATATAAAGCTTTCAAAAAATGCCCAACCAATACATATTCACCCTGATGATGGTAACTGCAACGTTTGCTGAAAATGATAATTTCAAACATTGAACATGGCTGATTCCTGAAAGCCAAATTTGTACATAAACTCCAGCTGCAAAAATCTAAGGACAATAATCACCCATAAATTTCAAGAATTATTTCTAGGTCTGTTTTATCTTATAAGATCAATTTAGGATTTTGAAGATGATGATGTCCACTTTGTGCTTAGTTCATAAAGTATGCGACTGAGGTTGAACACAGAGCTAGGGCAACATTCATCTGATAATACAGTGTCACAGCCTAAGCAAAAACACTTCATTTGGGGAATCCTACCAACAAGCAAAATATCTAAGCCACACAGATGACATGCCATGTGCTACAAGCATGGGAAGAGGAGGGATTGGTATATTGGTGTGAGACTTGTGATATGGGCCTCTGTTTCAACCATTTTTAGGATCATCACACCAAACTCAACTTTTATGGTATCCATCATCCATCACTAATTATGGATGCTATCATTTTTAAATAATATGCACATAATTTTTGGGAATTTAAATCCAAATCTCCTCTGCCTGCAGGATTTAAATATAATTAAATACTCTAGTAATGAAAGGGTACATTGGCTTTTTTTTAAACATTAATTATAACCAAGTGAAACTTATCATCTCCATGTACATTATTTATCAAAATGTTAATTGCCACACAGGTGGTTCAAATTTAATCTGGAATTTTGATAATAGTATGCCAATAAATTACTTTATCCATTTCATCATAGGTAGTCTTCTTGAGGTACTATCAACCTACAAGTTCATGCTTATTTCAGTCTTGCAACAGAATTTTTTAAGATGGGTCTGCAACCAAAGGAGAAATTCAGAAACAATAAAAACCCAAATTAAATTTGAACCAACCTTGTACTTAAAACAACACAAATCTGGAATATACCTTGGTTTGTTTCAGAAGATCTTCTTCCAATTTATCGAAAATTTCAGCATCACTTCCAGGGACACAGTCATCAACAGTAACAAAATCAAAATCTGATTCAAGGACTACCCTTGTGTCTGGAGGTATTGGTACCTGTAAAACAGATATATGTTTGCATTTAGTTCTTTCTACCTATTACTTATACTGTCCATTCTATGATATTTTCAGTTTCACACGACTTTAAAACATTACACTCGCTGTAAATTAATAAGATGAAGAGTTCAAAATGTGTAAGATTCTATGTAAGCTTCAGCTTCAATCATCATTCCAAACACACGACACTGAATGAGGACAGTTACCCCACATCTGACACTATTACTACTATCCAAAATGAAAATAGAAGTCAAAGTTGCTACTTCCTTACTCTAGAAAAAGTATTTATAACTGACACTAATTACAACATTTTGAACAGGTGGAAGAATTACTTCTCTCAGCTACTGAATGTTCACAGAGTTATTGATGTTAGGCAAACAGAAATACATACAGCTGAGCCATTAGTACCTAAGCCTAGTACATTTGAGGCTGAAATTGCTATTGCTAAGTTGAAAAGGTATAAATTGCCAGGCAGTGATCAAACTGCAATAGAAGTGATTCAAGCAGGAGGTGATACATTATACTCTGAGATCCATAAATTCCTAAATTCTATTCGGAATAAGGAAGAATTGCCTCAGCAGTGGAACGAGTCTATTATTGTACCAAATTACAAGAAATGTGATACTCTAACTAACTCACTCCCTGGTAGCAGAACCTGCAGGTCCAACACCGACAACACCAAAGCCTGCCACCAGCCATGATCCTTAAACAGCTCCATTAATTTACTATCTTCACAACCCACCTCCCTAAGATCCATCTTGATATTAACCTCTCATCTCCTTCTTGGTCTACCCAGTGGTTGTTTTCGAGAAGGATTCCCTTCCAAAATTCGGTATGTACCCCTTGCCTTCCCCCCAATGTGTTCTACACGTCCAGTCCACCAGAGCCTCCTACATTTCGCTATCCTCACTATGCTAGGTGACCTGTACAATCCATGCAGCTCCTTGTTATGCAATATTCTAAATTTCCCATTTATTCCATCCCTCCTAAGTCCAAATATCTTCCTGAGCACCTTGTTTTCAAACACTTGTAATCTACATTCTTCCTTCAAGGTAAGTTTCACAACCCTGCAACAGGCAAAGTCATTGTTTTACATATCCTGATCTTTAGTGTTTCAGACAGCAACAAGAGTTTTTGAATTGAATAAAAACAAGTGTTTTCCAAACTGTATTCTACTCTTAATTTCATCATGGACCTCATTTTTATCTGTTATTGTTGTTTCCAAATACTTAAATTTTCAAATGATTTGTTAATTACAATTATATTCTACCACTGTTGCCAATGTTGATCCTGTATTATACCCATGTATTTAGTTGTCTACATTTACTTCTAGGCCTATTTCCTTGCTAGCCTGTAGGAGAGTTTCTGCATTCTTGGTTATGGAACCCACACCATACACCAGCAAACTGACATCATCAGCATAAGCAAATACCTGGTGCAATCCATTCAATTCCAGCCCTTCCTGATGACATGTTCTAAGAGCAAAATTAAGAAGCATTGGGGTTAAAGCATTAGGCCATTGTGCATTGGGAATGAATCCAACAGAAGGTTACCTATACAAACTGTACTAGATACTGCATCCATGCACATCTTAACTAACTTAAGAAGTTTCTTTGGTATTTCAAACACAATCAAAATGCCATACAGTACCTCTCTTCTAACTGAGTCATACTCCTTCCTAAAGTCCACAAACAGCTGGTGTACTGATCCATTATACTCTCACTTTTTCCATATTTGTCAAATGCAAAAGATCTGATCAATGGTTGGTCTATTAAAACAGAATCCACATTGATTGTCCCCCCACAGTTTCATTAATAAATGGCATTATTGGATAACATTTTGTATGGTGCTGACAAAAGAGGGACACTTATGAAGTTACTGCACTCAGTTTTATAACATGTTTTATGGATAGGAACAACAACTGATTCTTTCCACTGTTGGGGTAGTAATTTCTGGTTCCAAATCTACATTATAAGCATATGTACCTTTGAGTGCAGTGCCCTACCACCTGCATGGATTAGTTCCACTGGGATTGAGTCAAGATTTATAACATTTTAATTTCCCAATAAAAATTTAAACTTCATTTAGGCTCAGTTCCGGGATGAAGGGCTCTGCTGTTTTTACTTCAGGCTCTTTAAATTTATCAGCTACGTGAACGTTTAGTAACTTACTAAAGTAATTTCTCCATCTGCTATGTGATCTCCATTTTCATCCTTGATCAACTGTGTCCTAAGTTTGTACCCCCTCTTAAATTCACTCATGCCTCTATACAACTCTCTGGTGTTTTATTTTTGCTGTTCGTTTCCAACTTTCCAGTCTAATCTTTGAGATACTCCCTCTTCTTTTTCCTCAAAATTCTGCTGGTTTTGCAACATCTTTTCCCTGTTTATTTGAGTACGTGCCTGCAGCCATTGCAATCTAACCTGCTTCCTCCACCTTACCAAAATAGAGTATTCTTCATCAAACCATGCTTTATTTTGCAAATTGTTATGATACCCTACACTCTCCTCACTTTAAATTTCCATGTTATTACATATATTTCCCCAGGCCATATTGGGGTCTTCTACTTATTCTCTGTATTATCTTCACCGTTATCTAGGATTGCAACCTGATACTCTTGCTTAGTTTCTACATCACTCAGTCTTTTTACACTGAATTTTTCAATCCTGTATATCTGTCATACCTGTTTTCTGACAAAGAGTCTTGACCTCAATTTTGCTGTCACTAAATAATGGTCAGTATCACAGTCCACTCCCCTATAAGATCCCATGTCTACAGTGTTTGATTGTCTCCTCCAATTGATTAGAACGTGATCAACTTGATAATAGGGCATCACATCAGGTGACGTCCAGGTGTGCTTATGGATATCAAGATGGAGGAATGTTGTTCTTTTGATGATCATATTTTTGAATGTGTGGAAGTTCATTAATCTCACCCCATTGTCATTACTAAATTCATGTTATGGGGCGATAATCTGACTGTAGTAATCATCAAGGCACATTACTGTTTTTAACTTCATACAAAATTTTATCCAATATCCTTCTTTCAAGGCTAATTCCATATGTAGATGAAATTACTGGCCATCATCAGTGTGTGTTTCAACATACGTAATAGGTCAACTACTGATCATATTTTTTGTATTCGTCAGATAATGAAGAAGAAATGGGAGTACAATGAGACAGTACATCAGTTATTCATAGACTTCAAGAAAGCATTTAATTCAGTTAAAAGAGAAGTATTGTATAATATTCTCACTGAGTTTGGTACACCCACAAAACTAGTTAGGCTTATTAAAATGTGGTTCAATGAAAACCACAGTAAAATCTGACAAGCTTCATATTCAAAATGGTCTAAAACTAGATGCTTTATCGCCATTGGAAAGGTCCAAGAAAACCAGGTGGGACTGAAAATGAATGGGACACATCAGCTTCTGGTATATGCTGATGAAGTAAATCTATTGGGGGATAACATAAGTACCAGAAAGAAAAACACAGAAGCTCTAATTGATGTTAGTAAGGAAGTTGGTCTAGAAGTAAACACAGAAAAACTAAGTATCTGTTGACATCTTATCACCAGAATGCAGGGCAAAATCATAATATGAAGATAGCTAATGGATCCTTTGAAAATGTGGCTAAGTTCAGATAACTGGGAGGGACAGTAACAAATCAAAATCCAATTCATGACAAAATTACGAGCAGATTAAATTTGGGTAATGCTTCCTACCATTCAATTCGGAACCATGTCTTCTCATCTACTGTCTAAAAACATAAAGCTTTAAAATACATAAAACTATAATTTTGCCTGCAGTTTTGCGTGGGTGTGAAACTTGGTCTCTGACACTATGGGAGGACTGTAGACTGAAAGGATTAGCTAACAGGAAAATATACGAACTCAAGAGGGATAAAATACTAGGAGGTTGGAGATAGTTGCATAATGAGGAGCTTCATAAGTTGTACTCCTCACCAAATATAATAGGCTGATCAGGTCAAGGAGACTGAGATGGTCAGGGCATGTAACTCACATGGGACTTTCTTAAATTTTTATGGGACAGAATTCGAGATGGAACGCATATTATTCATACAATTGCCAACAATGTCAGTTTAACTACAATTAACACCATCAGCTTGCATCATCCTCTCACCACACCCACATTTACCACATTCCTTTCAATTTTTCCCCTCACTATGCACCTCAAAATCATAAATCTCTGCAAGAATTTTACTGAAACCACAGGCTTCCAACCAATCTTATTTCACAATTTAACTGACAGATTTTCTAATTATTTACTGGAGAATAGGGAAGAAAATTGTGCCATTGAATTGCATTAAAAACTTTCATTATGCAAAGAGAAGTAAAGATTTTAATTTTTATATGCTGCTTTGTTAAACCTTTCAGTAAAAATGTGTTTTTAAAATACTTTAGATTTTCCTGTTATTCTTTATGGGCAATTTGCTAGTTATTTCTCAATGTAATTTACAGCACCTACCATTCATACGATGTGTAACAGTTAAGTTTTCAGAATGCTCTGTAAAGCTGTATTTAATTAATTACAAACTAGTGGATGCTGTCACCTTCAAAGTAGTCTCCCTGTACATCAGCACTGTAACCGTCCCTTTAGTTCTACCACACGTCTCAATGTTGTTCACTGTTTGTTTGTTCTTGTGGCCAGGTGCTCAGGTGGTTACAGCCTTCTTTACGTGGGGTATGTGTGCGGAGATATTGAAGGGAATTTTTGACGATGGTGTGGGATTGTCGGCGAGTAGGAGCCTCCGACACCCAGGGAATATACGTGGAGCAGATGGTGAGGCGGCTTTAACACAGATGGAGCGAATTCTCTTCTCTTATGTCACTGTGATATTCGGAGAAGCGTACCTTTATTGTTTCTTAAGATACAAAGCGACGAATATATTCGTAATTACACTTCTAGTAGACGGCTCGATGATTCAGCTGTTGCGTTTGATAGAAACGTGTCTTCTCGGTGGAAGAATCAAAACTTGAGAGTGCCAAGAGATTGAGAGATTGAGCTTCCGCAACCACACTCGCTCTTTTTATACACTGCATTACGCCTGGCTTTTTGGGTTACGCCCGGTTCCCACCAGACCGAATGTCGAAGAGGGAAACACCCAAGTGTGTGAACACTTTCTTGCAACTTAATATGCTTAATAAGGACAAATTTTTAATACACAATCAAATTTAGATGAAGTAAGGCGTTCCCATAACCATCTAATTACACCTTCGTTCTTTTATATATAAACCAGTTTAACATGCCAAAGCCTGGTTTACACTTCATCTCAAGGTTTAGCCCGTTCGGGGATCGAACCACTTACCTGGACTGGCACAGCACACTTAGTGAGTTGGTGTTTCCAGTGCTCAAAACATCTGTGGAACTCCTCTTCTAGAAAGTCATTGCATGTCTGCAATGTCTGAAAAACTGGCCCTTCAAAGCAGTCTTCAGTTTTGGGAATAGCCAAAAGTCACACAGGGCCAAATCTTGTGAATAAGGTGGATGGTTCAATTTCAATATCAACTGTTTGGCAAAACAGTCCCAGACAGCAAGTGGGTCACAAGCAAGAGCAATGTTATGATGCAAGATCCAATAATCAGAACAAAGTTCAGGTCTTCTCCAACAAACAGCCTCAACCTTGCCATTATTTCCAAATAACACTTAA